GTGGATATTTCGCTTGCTGGATAAGCTGCGAGGCTGAAAATTCGCTGGGATATTCTACTTTCAAGTGCAGTCTTAATTCTGCTTGGAGGTGGAATTCCCTCCAGATAAGCGTGAGAAATACTCAACTTTACCGAAAAATCAGGAACGAGCGCGTTTTGCAGCGAACGGCCGCCCTCATCCAAATACGGATTTTTTCACAAACGACCGCTCGAGCAATGCTTCCACGTTTTAGTGAACTGGAAATTTGCATTTTTCATTTTTTCAAAAAGAGAGCATTTGCCGAAAAAACGACCGAGCTTCATGTAAAAAACTGGTAATCATTTATCTGCATGTCCATGCGGCTCTATAACGCAATACCCTCATCCCATCTGATGCCCCATTCTGCTGCATGTCGGAAGAAACCAAAGCATGGCCAATGTGAGCCCAAGTTGCAGCGCAGGGATTATTCCTGCTATTAGCGACCCGTGAGTTTAATGCAAAAACGCACGAACGCACCGGCAAGCCTGATGCTTTCCAGTCTGGGTTGCAATTTGTATACAATCAAAAACGCAGAAAAATGATAAAAATCAACGGAAACTCTAAATTATATCTATGGCATACGAAATAAACTTACTTGATTAGCGATATGTGCAAAAGCCGATTGTCACGCTTTATCTGCCAATTCCCCTTGATTTCCTCGCTGTTAAAGCAATACAGCACTGCTGCAACTAATCCCTGAAAGCTTTAAACTGGACTTTCAAACTTCTAATTGTTTCTAATTATTATAGAAATTACTTTCGAGATTTCAGCAGATATTTAGCAATCATTTTGATTGCTAAATATCTGTTTGGTCAGCTGCGGTTCATAGCATCGATCTTTAGCTACGGAACTGACAACTTTTCCAGTTGCTTTGATCAATGCCATATTGCCTAATGGTCAGCCTGCTGATAATCCTAACATTTGTTTATTCTTTTGAGTGGATTATTAGTTCAACGCCTTTCCCGGAAAGAATTTAGCAAAACTTCAGTCATACTGAAATGTCACTGTGTGTACTGATCAGCACTTCATCTCGAGCGCTGTTACTCCTAAACCATGATGAGGTGCCTGGGCTGCACTACTCCAGTTAGTATCCGCCGTCTAGTCGACGTATGTGTAGCAACTTTTTGGGATCACAGTCGTATAGTTTTTTTTTTTTTTTTTTCCAGATTTCAGTTCCTCGCGTGTTCGCAGTAATATTTCTTCAGCAATATCTGACCGGGCAATATCTCTTCAGATTTTCCTCATTGCCCATTTTGTGCAGTAGAACAGTTTTCGACTTTGTCCAGCTGGTGAACATCCTTTTTTCGACGTGTGCTGGCTGAATTGAATAATTTCTTTTTCTAACTCCCGTTCCTGCCGGATTTGCTATTTCACAAAGACTTCATCTCTCGAAAAAGTAAAACAGCGGTGAGCACCATCAAATAGCTCAGTAAGACATTCTGGCCGTAAGCTGTGGCGAAAGCCCATGCAATTCATGCATAACTTTGCTCTTAGTCAACCAGTATAAGAGAAAGCACTAAAATTACGGATGATTTGCTCCGTCTTGAAATTATAACTTTGTGTTGCGTACTTTCACTAACTGGAAAACCGCTGCTCTTAATTTTAGACCATTTATCTCGTCTTAAACAGCCAGCTAAACGCCCGAAAAGCTGGAATTTCTGGTTTGCTTCGTCTAGAACTTACAAAATTGCAAAATTGATCCCGAGATCGTAAGTAAGACATTGCTGAAAATTGAATTTTTGTCATACAACTGGGAAGTGTCTGATGATGTAACTTCTCGAAATTTCTATTCTGTTTTGTTAGTCTTCGAGTTATTAAATTGGCCGGAATATAACCTGATTTTGTAGGTAGGAGGTGTAGGGGCTGTACGAAATGACTTTAGATTTGTGGCCCCATAGAGACCTACGGACTTTGTTCACGAAATTCGGACTTTTTAGCATGAGTAGCTCTTGGTTGAATTTGCTGACGAACACACACATTTCCATGCAGCTATTGCTGGATCATGATATGCTTTCATTTACATAAATGTGAAAACCCCTAAAAATGGGAATATGAGCCACTACCCAAAAACTGTTTACGACCACATATACGGAATGTGCAATATTTTGATTCGCAAAAACACGGCACAGCGTTAGTGCTACGTCGAACATGCAAAAATTCACTCCAGTGCCACAAATCAGATAGATCGTTGATTTTGCTAGTTTTCTGAAATCAGCTGCTGTTATCACAAAATCCATGAGCTGTGTTCAGCATTAGTGACAAAATATAAAGAGAATCTTGAGTTTGTTCCATAAAGACACGTTACTTCATCGTCACTTCTTCTGTTCGCCGTAGTCCCCGCAGTACTTTGAACCGCAGCGCCTTGAAACAATTCAGCTAACCTGTACTTGTCCCTCTCGATAGATGGCGGCGAATCTCTGAATTTGTAGTAAAGTTGTCGTGCGATATTTACAGCACATGCTACCTCAAGCAGTGTGATCAAGGTCAGTGGAATCTTTAAAATATATGAATGGTCCATCGAAAGCCAACAACTGAAAAATTGGCAGAACGCTATAATATTACGACACCTAAAGCTCGGTGACGTATGCTGGAGATGTGCGGCGAGCAAGAATGGTAGGGATAAGTATCAGGATGGCAGGGTTTTAAAGTCATTCAAACCACGAAAAATTTCAGTGGAAGTGGGAATTCACGCATAGCCCCTAAGCATAAACTGGCTGCTTCCTTCCACATCTCCGCTCCGTCCATCTTCCTTCTTCTCCGCCTGCCTCAGCTGCACTTCCTTAGTGGGCCTGCACAAACCAAACACACATAATCACCGAATGCAAAATGTTTTTCATTCAGAAACACTAAAAACAAAAATGAAATAAATTTATACTTGGTGGGGTCGTTGCGCGATTTGAAGATAGCCCAGCAGGAACAAATAAGCAGAGGGATTCCTGAAATTTGGCCTTTTTTTTTGAAATGGATTTAGACGCTCACATTTTACGAGCATGCAGAAGAATCGTAAACGTACCCCATCCAATAAAAGCATACGGTGATACTTTTGGTTCGACGAAAATATTGAAATAAATGGCGTTATGAAGATAGAGGCCTTCCACAAAAATCCAGAAATAACTGCACAGTATAAAATAATTCCACAAAGCTGTCACCACTTTGCATGACGAAATTAGTGCGGCAAACTGCAAACGACCAATCAACAGCGGTGTCAACGAAAGTTTTTGAAACGAAAACATTTTTGGAAAATTTTAATGAAGATTACGAAAGACTGCTTTCCCTCCTTATCTTCTTCAGTTTTTACTATTCTCCTTTCGCGATAAACCATACCACACTGGGCCTAATTCTTTCAGAACGAACTAATCTTGCCATCATAAAAAAAACCATAATTCGACCTCTTTTGATATTTCAACATTCTCAACTTATTACATCATCCGCTATTAGCAGATTTTACTTCAATAACACTTGCTCTCCACATCAACGATGCCCTTTTGATCCAACCTTCCGTTTACGGACAATGCAACTAATGTTTGAATTTGTTTTTTCAGAAAAAATTTAAATTCTGTTGCTCATTTTTTTGATTTCCACGTCTTACGGAAAATTTCAGTTCCCGCTTAGAGCTCATTTTCTTTCACAGATTCCTTATTTTTCAACCGATTTAACTGTGACTGTAGTAAAATTTTCTGTTAAAACAAAATAACTCATACAGCGTTTTTATAACGAAAAACATTCGAATAGACGTAATGAAGAATTGAAATCAGTGATCGCATAAGAAGCGAAAGGAACAAATTGAAATGGACAACATTACGACCACATTTCAATTTCCGGAAAACAGATTTTAATGAATTGATTCAAAGCAATATTTTTTTGAAAAAAAAGTCGACATAAATTTTACCTAATTTTTAGAATTTTCCTAATCTTTCTCAACGTAATGCAATACATCTCAATCAACCTAGAACAATTATTTCATTCCGTTTACTCCTCTCGCTATTCTTCCTTCCATACCTCAACTTTATAGAAGACCCACCCGCCACAGCTGCATGCTTTTCTGATTATTTAACACAGGTCAGGTTACGGTGCCTATGTTCAGACAGGCAAAATTCGGAATAAGCGGTACATTTTACTCCTTGCATCGTCTTAATAAATCTTCCAGCAAAATGAGCCTACTGACCCGGATAAAAATTTTAGTTAATAAATTTTCTTTCTGAAACGCTTGTGTTGCGGAAGTCCCGCGAAAAGCGGGCAGAAAGATGTGTGTGTGTGTGTGTGTGTGTGT